AAACCTTGGACACAATCATTGAAAAAAATTAAGGAGGCTGTGACAAGGAACATCTTTACTTTGGATGACTTCCCTGGGGTCCTCACAGAGTGACTGGAGTGCTATAACAAGTACACTGAAATTAGTGGATCCTACTTTAAAGAAGATTAAAGATTTGTACTTCTTTGAAATTAATAAATCTCTCCGGAAAAAGTTTTAAACCTAGTGGAACACACCTTGTACACCATATATATAGTAGACAGACAATGGCAGATTTTTATTGTTGTCTTTAACTCTTCTCTCCCTGCTTGTAGAAGATGATGTTATTCTTGTAGGGTAGTTGATACCCTGAAGGATTTTTTGAATGCATCTTTGATTGGTCACCAGATGTTGTAGGTAATGGATGTTTCCTTTCTTGATACTGTATAGACAGTGTGAATTGAAATTCAAGTATTGTTGCATGAATGTCTTGAACCCATACTCTCAGTGACATACTAGCCAAGATGATGGCAAGTAGCCCCTTATATCAAATAAAAATGCAATAAAGAAACAAACACAGACAAGTGTTTTAGTAATGAAAAAGAAAAAGAAATTTATAAAGTCAACTGCATACTATCAATTACTCAAGGCCAATATGAGAGGTCATTTTCAAATCTAAAGATCGTAAAGAAAAGGTTAAGAAATTTTTTGCCTGAGGAGAATTTGGAATCATACATGTTGCTATCCATTGAAAAGGAATTGCTAGATGAATTAAATGCAGAAGCAATTATTGGCAGATTTGCACAATCATCTAGTGAACACAAACAATTGCTCTTAATATAGTGAAATGCATGCAATGCTCTATTGTGTGTTTGAACTATCTGCTAATGTGTAAATTGTGCAGTAAACTAATTAAGAATATCAATCAATTACTTAAAATTAAAAAATAAATAAAAAATTCAATTCTAATATTCTGTATTTACATTTGGTATCTACTGCCAGTAATATGTACAATGTAATTACTAAGAAATACACATTTTTTCCATATGTATTTTTTGAAAATTTTATTTATTCATTATGAAAATTAAATGATAGCATTGTAGCTGTGGGTGGACCCCATTTGTCTTGTGGCAACTGTAGTGAAAGAGATAATCAGTTACCCTGAAAAAAGTTTGTGTTTTGTGTGTGATCTGCCGAAGAAAAATTACCAAAAAGTAGTTAGCAAAAATTTACTTCAATGACTAGAATCTATGCTAATGTTCTCCCCTCCACTGAATGGTGTGACCAATCAGAAAGATCTCTCGATGATCCAAAGCCGTTGTTTTTCACTTATAAAGGCAGAAGATTTTCTGAGCTGGTGAGCCAAACACATGTTTTTTGCTTGTGAGAAATGAAGGTTGGACGTGTGACCCCATTTTGTCGTTGCTACTTTGCTTGTTGGACTGTTACGACGGGCTATTGTTTGAACTGCGATTTGGCTATAAGTGTTGCGGTCGAGAAACAGAAGAAATCTATTGCGGTTGCTACTATAAGTTGACAGTCTTTTCTTTACTACAATATTTTTAGACCCAGTCTGCTACTGCATATTCTATGAGAATTATTAGTACATAGACAAGCCATTTGTTTTCTGTTTCACAAAATGTTTCAAAAGTCTTATTGAGTTCACATGGCTCAGCAATACTTGCTCATCTTCCTGAAGGGGCCAGAGTATAATGGTGTCACCTACATATCGATATATGATTGGCTTCTGCAGTGATGTTTCTATAGCCATTTCCTAAAAATATTCCAATTATATGTTTACCATTACTAGACTTTATGGTGATCCCATAGTTAAGCCTTCTTCGTGTCAGTATATGTTGGAACAAAATAGGAAGTATATTGTTTGCATGCACAATAGCAACAGTGCCATCAGGTTATCTATTGGGACCATTGAGGGGCCTGCTTTTAACTTGTCTCAAACTTTCAATAGAACTTCATAAGCCATCAGCAAACATTGAATCACGAAAGAAATGGGAGAGCTGAGTTCCAATTCCTGTCGGGTTTGTTATATTCACTTACATGCAAATACTCTTGAGAAAGATAGGAATCCATCTCTTCCACCACCCAGCTATGGATTAATTAGTAGAACTTGTATCAGTAAATTATCTCCAAAAAATTCTTACAATCTAAAAATGTTTTCTCACTTTAAATAACCTGTGAAAGGTTGATAAGCCATAAAAAACAATATCTACATTTGTGAAAAGTTATTTTCATAGTAGAAAGAATGATCAATAAATTTAATAGATATAAAATGTTTATACTTTTTAATAAAACATGTTTACAAGAATGATTGCTGCTAAAATATATATATCAGAATTTTCTTAAGTTTTCTTCTTACCAAAGGCATATAAAATTTACTTTTATAAAAGTGTTTTCTTGACAAAATCTTTTGTTCAAGCTTACATTATAACATAATATTTACATTGTATCAAGCATTATAAGTAATCTTGAAATGGTTTAAATTATGTGTGAAGATGTGCATAAATTATATGCCATTTTAGATAAGGGACTTTAGTATCGGGGTTGGGTTCATGAAACCAATTCCAGCTGACAGCAAGAGATAACTATGGGAATATTGTCATCAGGGTTTCTTAAAATCTTGAGAATTTATGTATTTATTCTTTCAAACCAATTTTCTTGTCTTGTTTTATTCCAACAATTTAACTGCTGTTCCCTCAAGCCTGATCTGGTAAAGAGAAAGATATGTTTTCATTGGTTAAATGAAATTTTATGTCCCATTTGCTGATGAGAATATCCTCCCTACATAAACCAGATAAAATATTCAAACATCTTGAGAGGGTCACAAAATAAAACGGACATTTAAACTTATGTTATTTGGTTGATTTTATAACATGTCAACCCATTTGGTGTTATTTGATATCAAATTTTGTAATAGAGCAACCAATGAGGATCTAAATCAGTAGTAATGGTCAACCAGACTAAACTTGTTAACCATTACCCTATTTAATTAGCTTAGGTTGATTTTAACAAATGTCAATCTGTGTTGGGTAATTTAATGTTGAATTTTGTAATGTTATACTCACTATTCTGTAGTAATGTTCATCCAGACTAATAACCAATTTAGTTAGATTAGGTTAGGTTGAATTTACAACTATTTGAGTTATTTAATGTCTAATTTTGTTATGGGGCACTTAGTGAGGAACAAACTCACTACACTGTAGTAATTGTTATCCAGACTAACCTCTGTAACCATTACCCTGTTTAGTTACATTAGGTTAAGTTTGGTCAAATTTACATCTTGTTGGCTAATTTAGTGTTGAATTTTGTAATGTGACACTTAATGAGGATTGAACTCACTACGCTGTATTAATGGTAATCCAGATTAGCCTCAGTACCTATTACCCTATTTGGTTAGGTTAGATTGAGTTTACGACTTGTTGGATTATTCATTGTCAAATTTTGTAATGAGGCCATGAGTGAAGATTTGAACTCACTAATTAGTAATGATGGTCAACTAGACTAAACTTACTAACCATTACTCTATCTAGTTAAGTTAGGTTGATCTTATGTCAATCCTTGTTGGGTTACTTAATCCCAATGTTGTATTGGACATCCTGTATGGGGTGACCTTACTTCTCAGAAGTAATGGTCAACCAGACTAGCCTCTCTGTTACCCCATGCCAAAGCACTTACAGACTGTTGTGGATTCTGGGATGAAATCCGGTCTCAAATGAATGACAAACGCAGGAATGAAATATAGCAAATAAATGTATTGACGTAATAATGCAATTGGTAATACGGTTAGTAGATCCAGAAATGCGGTTAGTAGCAATAATAATATATATACAGTCTGGGAAATTCAGTATCGAAGTATGACTTCCTTCTGAGTCTACGTGCTCGCAACTGTGACTCCTACAAGGCGGTTACCTCACACTCTCACTCTCTCATTTTCTCACTTCCGGGTATTCACTGGAAACAGTACAAGTACACACTGGGCGAGTCCACTTCTATAAAAGGGGTGGACCCCTTAACACAGACATTTGAAGAATGTTACAGGGAGCAATATTCATAATGTGATCAAAACAATAAGATGAGGAAACTGGTCAGAACAAATATATAGACAAATATATTCTTGAGCAAATTTTAAATTTGTTTTCAAATACAAAAAGATTTCTTACATTTCCTTTCAAATACATCCAGGAGCAAGGCCTCTGACTGGGAGATTGGAAGTTTTGAGGAACCTGAAACCACCTCTTAATTGTTGCTGTTCCCAGCTCCACCATGACCCAGGATGGTAACACATGTTATGGGCAAATAGTGAACCCTAAACACTATGAAAGTATAAAAATACCAGCAATACATTTTTATATAAAACAATTACAAACAATATATACTTATTGTAGAATTACCAACAATACATTTTTAAAGCAGGATTATCAACAATAAATTTTATAGTAAAATGACCAACAATACATTTTATCTGTAGTTCAAGCCATAAAACTGTGTTCAAAATATTTAGATTTTGGCATTAAATAACCCATAGGGGTTGATATACTGCTAAACAAAATCAAACAACCAACATGAAAGAACTCCTTCAGGATATTCATCCACATAATATCTTACAATTTCTGGAACAAATCAAACTGTATTCCAAAATATAACTTCAACAAAACTACAACAAAAAATACACATATCATTGCTACTAGTAATCATGTCCACACAAACATATATATGCCCAAAAGCTGAGTATCATCTACCATGTATTCAGTTGTGAAAGGAGAATAACATATTTTTATTATGTGCAAGCTTCCTAGAAAATTAAATGTTCACATTAAATGACCCATAAGGAGTTGATATGCTATTAAACAAACAAATCAACATTTCATTTTATTTTTATCTTTTTTTTATTTGTAAGTTTTATTTGCTCAGATCTTTTGTTAGTTTGGATTTATAATGGAAAAGATAAAAGTTTGCTTGAAAATATCTTGAAAAAATGTATAGTTCTTTCTTGAGTAGATTATTATTTTAATATTTCGGGCTTTTGGCCACATCAAATTGAAACACCAGTTCCCATATGATCACCAAAGTTAAGCAACATTGAGCCTGCTCAGTACCTAGATGGGTGATCATTTGAGAATACTGGCTGCTGTAAGGTTGAATGTGCAGGTAGTGTAATGGATAATGGCTCGTAATTGTTAATCGGAGAGCAGAGTTCCAATTTCCATTGGATTCATTATATTCACTTACACACAAATACCCTTGGGAAAATTATGAATCCACCTCTTCTCCCTCCAGCTATGGGTTAATTAGTAAGACTTGTATCACTAAACCATTATTATCTCAAAAAAAGATTCTTACAATCTAAAAATATTTTCTAGCTTGCAAAGGGTTGATAAACCATAGAATTGAATCAATCATGTAATATTTTCTAAGTAAAATTAAATTTTTAGATTGCTATTCAATTTAGAAATATTAATCTATTTGGTTGAAAATATTTCTAAATACAGGAAGTCAATTCCAATATCCTTCTAGTTTCCACTTTGTATCAATATTAATTGGATTTTTATTCATTCTTATCCAGGTTTTATGGTATAGGGTCAAATAGTTTGAAATGAAGTGCAGTTTGTAATACCAATCATTTAAGTGGAGAATGCCTGTCAAGTTATTTGGAATTTTGGTTTTCCTTGGTATTGAAAAATATCAACATTAGTTGGCTTGGATTTGAGACCAAATTAGAAAATACTACTTTTTGAATAATTTGGTCAGCTTTCTATGGATTTGTAAAATAATGTAACCTTCCTAGATTCTTGTATATTTGCAAGTTGTTTTGTATTTATTAGGAGAATCATAAAATTTAAACTAATAACAAAATAATGACTTGCATACCAAAGAACATTTTGGAAATTAAACCATTTTATGATGGCATAGAAAATGGACATATTTAAAATATATATGGAGTTAAAACCAGAACAAAAGTAGAAACTGATAGTCAGTACAGAAAAAAAATATTTAGAGTTAATCAGTTTTGCTCAATGAAGAGAAAAACTGATTAACTACCAATATTTCTTCTTTTTTTATTTTTAATTTAATGAGATGAACAATCCAAATAACTATCCAAGAAATTAAACTCTCAATTTTTACCAAACGATGTGCCTTGAGTATTTAGGTACAATGAGGAGTGAAATCAGTTAACGCCAAAAATTGGTAGTTAACTGGACATTAATTGGTTTCAAATATTTTTTTTCTGTATTGAATCTATGTTCCCACATTTGCATTTTCTCTGGCTTTAACTCTATATATTTTAAATATGTACTTTTTCTACACTATCATCAAACTATTTACCACAAATAAAAAAAACTGTTTTATTTGATTCTATTAAAATATTTTCTTTCTTTAAAGGTCATATTAGGAGCCTTTTTTCATGATATTGGCCATCTTGTTGGTTTTGATGGAAATGTTACCCTAATGGTAACAGATGGACAAATTCTTGGAACCAAAGACCATGAAATTGTAGGTGCAAACTTTCTGAGACAGTGTGGTTTTGACTCCCAGATTTCTGATATAGTCCTTCATCATGTTGATGCCAAAAGGTATTTGGTTTACAAGAATCCATTGTACTTTGAAGGTAAGTTGATATTTTCATGCCTAAAATGACCAAAGAATGAAAACTATTAATTGGCCAGGAACTTGTTTCTAAGCTAGTGGGGTAGCTAACCAATGCCTATTGCATTTTATAATGCAACTATATTGAGCAGACCTTAGTTACAGTTTCTAGGAGAGAGTACATAATCTGACATGATGAACAGTTTGAAGAAAGCCAGTATGCTTAAATCCTCAATTAGTCACAGTGACTTGTAACTTCATGCTAATACAACCTTTGACTTGTTGGGATGGTCTCCCCAAAATGATAACATCAAGAAGTCACCTTCATATAAAATTGACCATGGAGAGTTATTAAACTCAGGTCTCATGGTCAGAATGTGGACATTCTAACCATTTGTGCCTGTAAAAAAAAAGGATTCATTCAGAATTAAGAAATAGCAGATAGTGTAAACCATAAAAATGGGTTTTTAATGAATTTTTTAATTGTTTTAAATCAAGCAAGGGAATATAGCCGCTAAGACATAAAGGGTTACTGATTATAGGAGAATATGAGAAAAAAACAATATTAAGGTGTTGTGGAGTTATTTCACAGTGGAGGCTTGTATTTGTACTAAATCGGTCCTAAAATAGGTTCGACATACAAAACGTTAGGAACTTGATATAATAGCTATTACGCAGAATAATCTTGTTGTGGTCGCTGACTACTTTTGTATTCGACTAACTGTCAACTACTGTCGTCCGACATCGACTGGATATTCAGTCACCCCACCACTGGGGCATCATGTGACACAAGGTCGGTTATTTATTGTGGGTTTTCTGAGCCCGTGGGCTCAGCCCCAAAATATGCCCATTGAACCCGTAAAAACGGGCTCAGGGCCGTTTTACCTCCCCGAACGAGACTCCGCCCCTCGGCATAGCCTTGTTCAGGTTCCTCCTCGCCCGAAGGCAGAGAGTTCAGCCGGTCGTCCGACATCAACTGACCCTCGTTTCTCTTACTACTCCTACTTATATTAGGTGGGAGAGTCTAACTATAGAATAGATGTGTTTCACCATAACATAAGGAGAGAGAACAATAAAAGAACAGGAATTGAGAAGTTAGAAGGTAACAATTGACATTGCATTTAAGTTTTTTAAGATCAAAGTTGACTGGACAGCAAGAAGCCAGAAGAGTTCCACAAGTAAGAAGTGTGATAGAAGAAACTGTTAGTATAGAACTTACAGTTATATCTAGCAATTTTAACTGTAAAATGTTGAGACATTTAGTACTGCACTTAAATTCATAAAGTTGAGGTACCAAAGTGAAAACTCATCACAACAATTAACATGAGAATATTTATAGAAAGGAAGCTACATTACAGTGGTAGGAAAGTGACTGAAGCTGAGATATTAAGTCAGGACCAATGACATTGCAGATTCTTCTTTGGATTTTATCACATGTGCCTTGAGTATTTAGGTACAATGAGGAGTGAAACCAGTTAACGTCAAAAATTGGTAGTTAACTGGACATTAATTGGTTTTGCTCTTCAAATATTTTTTTTTCTGTATTGAATCTATGTTCCCACATTTTCTCTGGCTTTAACTCTATATATTTTAAATATGTACTTTTTCTACACTATCATCAAACTATTTACCACAAATAAAAAACTGTTTTATTTGATTCTATTAAAATATTTTCTTTCTTTAAAGGTCATATTAGGAGCCTTTTTTCATGATATTGACCATCTTGTTGGTTTTGATGGAAATGTTTAAATATATAGCAGGAGCATCAGACCAGATGTGACAGCAATATTCAATGTACAAACAAATGATAGAGTTATAAAACTGCAAGATAGATTCTGTCAAGAAAAATAGTTTAGCATGATGCAGTGAATTAATTTTCCTAGCAACAAAACTTAATTGATTCTATATAATCTTCCCACTTCATGTTAGTGGAAAACATTATTTCCATATGTTGCATGACAACATGGTTGAAAGAAGAATAAGATTATTTAAATTTTGAATAATTAAGTTGAATGATGGCATTTTTGTATTTTTTGTGTTGAAATTGTGAATCTTGCTTCATTGAATTGATTACTGACTTTTCAACACATTTCAAATGTAAACTGTTGCCCATATAATCTAAAGAAAATATTTATTCTTGAAATTTAATTTAAAGGAGTTTTTTATATATCTCCCAATGTCAAAATGTTGATAAATGTTTTTGATTTTCTCTAAAATTAATATGACCTATATCTTTCACTCATTTCACCCATAACTTATTCAAATAAAGGTGGCGTCTCTTAACTTGCACATGTTTCATTTAATAAAATAATTAATTCTTATCAGAAGATGTAAAGTAAGAAACATCTTAATTATTGTAAATAAATGTCAGATCTTTATATGTCAGGTTTTAAACTGGCATGGAATTGTGAGCTACTAAGATAATTTAGCATTTGTATCAATGGTGAAGGATCCACAAATGCGACACAAGCCATAGATTTTTTCCACCGTAGTGTAATTTGCTATGGTTAAATGTAATTGGCAGAAATGCCCAACAAACAGAATTTGCAATAAACAATAACAAGAGAAAGAAAAGAAAAGAACAGGGCAAAAATAATATTGAACAAACAATATATGCAAGGCAAAACAACAAAAATAAGGCAAAGCAATATTAATAAGGCAAAAAGTTCACAAACTAAAAATGGTTTCAATACACAAAAGTGATTGCAGTGTTGTGGCTTTAAGACAAGAAAAAACAGAGCTAAGTCTGATAGTACTGAGAAGTGGTCTATGTTATTGGCTTGGAAAAAATTGCAGTAAGCATTTCCGTGTTTTTGTCGATAAATTTGTGGATGATGATGTTTTGCAGTCATTCTTATCATGATGGGAAACAAACATCTAGAATAATCAATTTTGTGTAATAAAAAAAAAAATTATTTTTACTATCTTTTCTGCCCCTGTGATCATTTTTAAAATTTCTCAGTTTTTTTTATTTCTTAGGATAAATCGTGAACAAGGGACATTAGTAGAGTAGTGTAAACAGAAAAGGCTGCTGCTTCCATATCCAAGCCAGTTACATGCACAGTCACAGAAATCATGGAAGAACAGAGTGAGAGAAAGTTGAGGAGTTATGGCTAAGTGTCCAAGGAAAGTAAAAAAAAATTTTTTAAAAGTGCAGTTAGCTGCTGTTGCTTTTTCTCAACATGAAGTAATTAAGTTTTTGTTTCCCTGAATAAAGACCTTTCAAAGTATATAAAGGGAGAGTGTGGTACTGATACTTTTTACAACCAAGTGATCAATGAATTTGCCAAAACAAAATGAAAAATTGGATTAATGTAAAAATGAACAAGTTTTTAATACATTGTTATTTGTTGATTTTATAATTTTCTTAGATTTCCTTCATAACCATTAACAGCCATGCAGAATTGCATACACTGATTCCAACATTCACTCTTCACCCTTCACCACTGTTGTTGTTTTTTTTTACACATGTCTGTATCTACACCTCAATCTAGAGCAATTTAGATAGGTATCTCTCTGGTGACAGACAGCACAGGGATTCACATAGTT